GCCTGCGCCGGCGCCCGGCGGGCGACACGCCGGCGCGGTTGACGCCGCGCGCCGGCCTGCCGGAAGCTTCGCCCATGGATCGCACGGCGGCCCCAGACGACACGGAGAACGCGGGCAGCCCGGCGCCGACCAGCGGCGCCGCGTCGCCCGACCCCTTGCGGGTGGCGGGGCTGCGCTTCGCCTACGGCGACCGCCCGGCGCTGCGCGACGTCAGCTTTCGCGTGCCGGCCGGCGCGGTGACTGTGCTGCTGGGGCCCAACGGCGCCGGCAAGACCACCCTGCTGGGGCTGGTCACCGGCCTGCTCGCGCCCCAGGCCGGCCGCATCCGCATCGCCGGGAAAAGCCGGGCGCGCGACGGCGCCGGCGTGCTGAGCGCGCTGGGCATCGTCTTCCAGCAGCCGACCCTGGACCTGGACTTGAGCGTCGCCCAGAACCTCGCCTACTTCGCCGGCCTGCGCGGCCTTTCGCGGGCCGAGACCCGCACTGGCCTGCGCCGCGAGCTGCAGCGCTTCGGCCTCTGGGAGCGGCGCCATGAGGCGGTGCGCCGGCTCAACGGCGGCCACCGCCGACGCGTCGAGATTGCCCGCGCCTGCCTGGACAGCCCGCCGCTGCTGGTGCTCGACGAGCCCACCGTCGGCCTCGATATCCCGACCCGCCGCGCCCTGGTTGCCGACCTGCACGCGCGCGCGCAGGAGGCCGGCGCGGCCGTGCTCTGGGCGACGCACCTCAGCGACGAGGTCTGGCCGGGCGACCGCCTGCTCGTGCTCGACCGCGGCGAGCTGCGCGCGGCGGGCAGCCTGGAGCAGGTGCTGGCGCAGACCGGCGCGCCGGACCTGGAGGCCGCCTTCGACGCCCTGACCGGGCCACCGCCGGCCCCGGCCGCGGCGGCGGCTCCGTGAGCCCCGCGCACGTTCTGCGCGCCCTACGCGCCCTGCTGCTGCGCGAGGCGCTGCGCTTCCTGCATCAGCGCAGCCGCCTCTTGGCCGCGCTGGTGCGTCCGCTGCTCTGGCTGCTGATCTTCGGCCTCGGCCTGCGCGCCGCCATCGCGCTGCCCCAGGTGGCGCCCTACGGCGCGGCCGTGGCCTACGAGCTCTACCTGGTGCCCGGCCTGATCGGCATGATCCAGCTCTTCAACGGCATGCAGTCCTCCCTCTCGATGGTCTACGACCGCGAGATGGGCTCGATGCGGGTGCTGCTGACCACGCCGTTGCCGCGCCCCGTGCTGCTGGTCGGCAAGCTGCTGGCCGGGGTCTGCGTGTCGCTGATCCAGGTCTATGCCTTCCTGGCGATCGCCGCGCTCTTCGGGCTGCGCTTTGCCCCGGCCGGCTACCTGGCGCTGCTGCCGGCGCTGCTGCTGACCGGCCTGTTGCTGGGCGCGGCCGGCCTGCTGCTCTCCTCCCTGGTGCGCCAGCTCGAGAACTTCGCCGGGGTGATGAACTTCGTGATCTTCCCGGCCTTCTTCCTCTCGACCGCCCTCTACCCCCTGTCCGTCCTGCGGGAGTCCAGTCCGCTGATCGCGGCAGTTTGCCGGCTCAATCCCTTCACCTACGCGGTCGAGCTGCTGCGCTTCACGCTGCACCTGCAGGTCAACCTGCCCTCGCTGGCGGTCGTCGCCGCGGCGACCGCCGCCCTCGGCCTGGCCGCGGTCTGGAGCTACGACCCGAGGCGCTGGCACAGCCGCGGCGGGCCGGCCGGCGCCTGAGCCCGCCCGAACATGGCTGCGATCCAGCGCCAAGGGCTTTTCCCCTCGCCCATCGGATGTAAACTTACCCTACTAAGCTCCGCATAACGGGGCAGAACCGGCGCCCAGCCGGCGGTCGTCCGCGACCGGACACGAACGGGAGGAAAGCCATGTCCAGGGAGCCCCAGTCCGCCGCGCGGCGGGCCCTGCCACAAGTTTGCCGGACCGGCCTGTTGGCCGCCGTCGCCGCCGCCGGCCTGCTCGCCGCGCCAACAGCCGCCGTCGCGGCCGAAGCGGTCACGCCGGTGGACGGCGCCCGCCTGCTGGCCGCGGACGCCGAGCCCGGCAACTGGATGACCCACGGCCGGACCTATTCGGAGCAGCGCTACAGCCCGCTGGACGCCATCGACCGCGACAACGTGGCCGAGCTGGGCCTGGCCTGGTACGCCGACATGCCCGAGCGCCGGGGCATCGAGGCCACGCCCCTGGTGATCGACGGGCGGCTCTACACCACCTCCGCCTGGTCGGTGGTCTACGCCCTGGACGCCAAGACCGGCGAACAGCTCTGGCGCTTCGACCCGGAGGTGCCGAAGTCCTGGGGCCAGCGCGCCTGCTGCGATGTGGTCAACCGCGGCGTCGCCGCCTGGGGCGACCGGCTCTATCTCGGCACCATCGACGGCCGGCTGATCGCCCTGGAAGCCGCGACCGGCGCGGTGGCCTGGGAGGTCAACACCATCGACCGGGACAAGCCCTACACCATCACCGGCGCGCCGCGGGTGGTCAAAGGCAAGGTGATCATCGGCAACGGCGGCGCCGAGCTGGGCGTGCGCGGCTACGTCTCGGCCTACGACGCCGAGACCGGCGCACTGGCCTGGCGCTTCCACACCGTGCCCGGCAACCCGGCCGACGGCTTCGAGAACGACACCATGGAAATGGCGGCCGAGACCTGGACCGGCGAATGGTGGCGCTACGGCGGCGGCGGCACGGTCTGGGACGCCATGGCCTACGACCCCGAGCTCGACCTGCTCTACATCGGGGTCGGCAACGGCTCGCCGTGGAACCGCGACATCCGCAGCCCCGGCGGCGGCGACAACCTCTTCCTCTCCTCGATCGTCGCCCTGCGCCCGGACAGCGGCGCCTACGTCTGGCACTACCAGACCACGCCGGGCGACACCTGGGACTACACCGCCACCCAGCACATCATGCTGCTGGACCTCGAGATCGACGGGCAGGCGCGCAAGACCCTGGTGCAGGCGCCGAAGAACGGCTTCTTCTACGTGATCGACCGCGCCACCGGCGAGCTGATCTCGGCCAACAACTACGTGCCGGTGACCTGGGCGACCCACGTCGACCCCGACAGCGGCCGGCCGGTGGAGACCGCGTCCGCGCGCTACCCCGATCCGGAGGACCCGCAGCTCATCTTCCCCTCGCCCTTCGGCGGGCACAACTGGCACCCCATGGCCTTCAGCCCGAAGACCGGGCTGGTCTACTTCCCGGCGCAGGAGATCCCCTTCGTCTACGGCGCCGACAGCGACTTCGAGTTCGCGCCCGAGCCGGGCACCTGGAACCTCGGCGTGAAGTTCGCCCACGCCTCCTTCCCCGAAGACCCGGAAGAGGCCCGCAAGCTGCTGCCGCTGCTCAAGGGGCGACTGGTCGCCTGGGACCCGGTTCGCAACCAGGAGGTCTTCCGCGTCGCGCATCCCGGCCCCTGGAACGGCGGCGTGCTGGCGACCGCCGGCAACCTGGTCTTCCAGGGCACGCCCGGCGGCACCTTCGCCGCCTACGACGCCGCCAGCGGCGAGCGCCTCTGGGCGACCCAGGCCCAGACCGGCGTGGTCTCCGGCCCGATCAGCTACGAGGTGGACGGCGAGCAGTACATCGCCGTGACGGTCGGCTGGGGCACGGTCTTCGGCCTGATCTCGCCGGGCGAGCAGCGCCCGGTCAGCCGCGTGCTGAGCTTCCGGGTCGGCGGCGAAGCCGCGCTGCCCGAGCCGGAGCTGGCCGCCGCCGACTGGCCCGAGCCGCCGCCGGTCACCGGCAGCGCCGCGCAGATCGCCGAGGGCAAGGCGATCTACCTGGAGAGCTGCTTCATGTGCCACGGCGACGCCGCCATGTCCGGCGGCGTGCTGCCCGACCTGCGCAAGCTACCGCCCGAGCGGCATGCGCTGTGGAGCGAGATCGTCCTCGACGGCGCGCTCGCCGAACGCGGCATGCCGGGTTTCGCCGGCCGCCTCAGCGCGGCCGAGGCCGCGGCGATCCAGCAGTACGTGATCCAGCGCGCCCACGACACCCGCCAGGTCGCGGCCCAGGATGCCACCGAGGCGGCCCCGGCGTCGGGCGACACCTCCGCGCAGTAGGCTCGGCGGGCCTTGGCTTCGCCCCCGGCCGCGCGTATCCTGGCGGGCACGGACGGTCGAGAAATCCAACGATGGCACGACCCAGGGAGGACGCAATGAAGTGGACCGCACCGCGTTTCGAAGAGCTCTGCATCGGCATGGAGATCAACGGCTACTTCCCGGCCGAGCTCTGAGCCCCCCGCCGGCCCGCCGGCGGGGCGCGTCCCGCAACATCTCCGCCGGGGCGCGACATGGCTCCTTCAGTCGGGGCCCGGTGAATCGGGACCCAGTGAATTGGGGTCCGGTGAGTCGGGGCCCGGTGAGTCGGGGCTTGTTGACGTGAGACCGGCCGGGGACCAACGCGCCGGATGAGCGGGTTTCGCGTGATCGTGCTGGGCTCGGCGGCCGGCGGCGGCTACCCGCAGTGGAACTGTCGCGGACCGGTCAGCCGGCTGTTCTGGGACGGCGACCCGCGGGTCGAGGAACGCACCCAGTCGTCGCTCGCCGTCTCCGACGACGGCGGGCGCTGGGCGTTGCTCAACTGCTCGCCCGACATCCGCCAGCAGATCCTGCGCACCCCGGCGCTGCAGCCCTGGCGCCGGCAAGACGCGGCCGGTGGCGGCCCAGAGACCGGAAGCCCAGAGACCGGAAGCCCAGAGACCGGCGGCGCAGAGGCCGGCCCGGACGGTGAGCCGGCCGCGGGGCCGCTGCGGCGGACGCCGATTGCCAGCATCCTGCTGACCAACGGCGACATCGACCATATCGCCGGCCTGCTGTCCCTGCGCGAGCGCCAGCCCTTCCGGCTGCTGGCCACTCCGGCGGTTCTGGAGGTGCTGCGCGGCAACCGCATCTTCGACGCCCTGGCCCACGACCTGGTGGAGCGCTGCCCCGTGAGCCTGAACGCAACCTTTCCCCTGGTCGGCGCGCTGACGGCGGAGATCTTCGCGGTGCCCGGCAAGGTGCCCCTCTATCTTGAGGAGGGCGAGCCGGAGATCGGCGGCGAGGGCGAGGCGACGGTCGGCGTGCGCATCGCCGCCCCCGACGGCCGCCAGCTCTTCTACATTCCCGGCTGCGCACGGGTGACCCCGGCGCTGAAGGCCCGCGTGACCGGGGCCGATCTGCTGCTGTTCGACGGCACGCTCTGGGACGACGCGGAGATGATCGATGCCGGCCTGGGCCACAAGAGCGGCCGGCGCATGGGCCATGTCTCCATGTCCGGGCCGGACGGCAGCCTCGCCGCCTTCCGCGACCTGCCGCTGGGCCGGCGAGTCTTCGTGCACATCAACAACACCAACCCGGTGTTGGTGGCGGACACGCCCCAGCGCGCCGAGGTCGCGGCGGCCGGCTGGGAGATCGCCTACGACGGCCTGGAGATCGCCCTGTGAGCCAACCCGCCGCCGGCCCGCCGCCTTCGACGTCGACCCCCATGCCGACCGCCATGCCGACCCCCATGCCGACCGACGTGCCGACCGCCGCGCTGACCGCCGTCGAGACGCCTCTCGACCCGGCGCAGTTGGAGCGCGCCCTGCGCCGCATCGGGGAGACGCGCTACCACCACCTGCACCCCTTCCACCAAAGGCTCAACAGCGGCGCGCTCGACCGCGGCCAGGTGCAGGCCTGGGCGCTCAACCGTTACTACTACCAGAGCATGATCCCGGTGAAGGACGCCGCGATCCTCTCGCGCATGACGGAGGCCGCCCTGCGGCGGGACTGGCGGCAGCGGCTGATCGACCACGACGGCACCGCGCCGGAGACCGGCGGCCTGCGCCGCTGGCTGGCGCTGACCGACGGTCTGGGGCTGGAGCGGGCCTACGTGGTCTCCACCGCGGGCGTGCTGCCGGCGACGAAGTTCGCCGTCGAGGCCTACGTTCACTTCGTGCGCGAGCGGAGCCTGCTGGAGGCCATCGCCTCCTCTCTCACCGAGCTCTTCTCCCCCATGGCGATCGGCGCGCGGGTGCGCGGCATGCTGGAGAACTACGACTACGTCACGCCGGAGATCCTGGCCTACTTCGACAAGCGCCCGGAGCAGGCGACCCGCGATTCCGACTTCGCCCTGGCCTATGTGCTGGAGCACGCGCGCCGGGCCGACCAGCAGGAGGCGGCCCTGCGCGCCCTGACCTTCAAGTGCGACGTGCTCTGGGCCCAGCTCGACGCGCTCGAGCATGCCTACGTGGCGCCCGGTCACATCCCGCCGGGCGCCTTCCGGCCGGCGGCACCGTGAGCGCGCCCGCCCCCCTCCTGACGCCGGAGAGCGTGCCGCGGCTGCCGCGCGGCGTGCGGCTGCGCCACGACCAGACGCGCGACGAGTGGCTGCTGATGGGCCCGGAACGCCTGCTCAAGCTCGACAGCATCGCGCGGGAGATTCTGCAGCGCTGCGACGGGGAGCGGAGCGTCGCCGCCATCGTCGCCGAGCTGGCGGCGCGCTTCGAGGCCGAGGCGGCGACGGTCGAGCGCGATGTGCGCGCCTTTCTGGAGGCGCTGCTGGCCCGCGGCCTGCTGAGCCTGGAATGACCGGCGCCGAGGCCGAGACCCCGGCCCCCCTGGGCCTGCTGGCGGAGCTGACCCACCGCTGCCCGCTGCGCTGCCCCTACTGCTCCAACCCGCTGGAGCTGGAGCGCCGCTCGGACGAGCTGGACACCGCCACCTGGACCCGCGTGTTGAGCGAGGCGGCGGCCCTGGGCGTGCTGCAGGTCCACCTCTCCGGCGGCGAACCGACGGCGCGGCGCGACCTGGAGGCGCTCGTCGCCCACTGCGCCGACCTGGGGCTCTACAGCAACCTCATCACCGCCGGGGTCAACCTGCCGCCGGCGCGCCTGGCGGCGCTGGCAGAGGCCGGGCTGGACCACGTACAGCTCTCGCTGCAGGGGCCCGAGGCCGCCGGCAACGACCGCATCGCCGGACTGCCCGGGGCCTTCCACCAGAAACTGGCCCTGGCCGGCGAGGTCCGCGCGCTCGGCCTGCCGCTGACCGTCAACTGCGTCGTCCACCGCCACAACATCGCGCGGCTGCAGGAGGTGATCGACCTGGCGCTGGCGCTGGGCGCCCATCGGCTGGAGATCGCCCACGCCCAGTATTACGGCTGGGCCCTGCGCAACCGCGCCGCCCTGATGCCCCGGCGCGCCCAGGTCGAGGCGGCGATGGCGACGCTCGAGCGGGCCCGCACGGCCCAGGCCGGGCGGCTGGTGATCGACGCGGTGGTGCCGGACTACTACGCCCGCCTGCCCAAGCCCTGCATGGGCGGCTGGGGCCGGCGCTCGCTCAACGTCACCCCGAGCGGCCGCGTGCTGCCCTGCCATGCGGCCGAGACGATTCCCGGCCTGACCTTCGACAACGTGCGCAGCCGCCCGCTGGCCGAAATCTGGTACCAGGGCGCCGCCTTCGCCGCCTTCCGCGGCACCGACTGGATGGTCGAGCCCTGCCGCTCCTGCGAGCGGCGGGAGATCGACTGGGGCGGCTGCCGCTGCCAGGCGCTGGCGCTGACCGGCCGAGCGGAGAACGCCGACCCGGCCTGCCACAAGTCGCGCCACCACGCCGCGCTGCTGGAGCTGGCCGACGCGGAGTCCGAGGCCGAAGCGCAGGGCGAGACGGGCACCGCCTTCGTCTACCGGGGCTTCGCGACACCGCAGAAATGAGACAGGGGCGCGGCGCACCCCCGCCCCTCTTCGCAGCATGCCGCTACTCCGGCATCTGCACCGTGAAGGCGATGCTGGCGTACCAGGCGGCCAGGTCGGAGATGTCCGCGTCAGACAGGTCCTTGGCGATCACCGACATGATCTCGTGGGTGCGCTTGCCAGAGCGGAAGGCCTTGAGCTGGGTTTCCAGGTAGACCTCGCTCTCGCCGGCGATGTGCGGCGCGATGGGAATGCGCGCCACGCCGTCGAGGCCGTGGCAGGTCTTGCAGGCCGCCGCCTTCGCGCGCCCGGCCGCCGGGTCACCGGCCAGTGCGGGCGACAGCGGGACCAGCGCCGCCGGCAACAGCAGCAGCAGCAGCGCGGCGAGACGCGTGAGGGCGAGCGAGCGGATCATGACGCTCCCGGGGGTCCGAAGGTGGGCGGACGGGGCCGGCCGGGCCGGTCTCGGCCAGGCCGGGCCGCGCCCCGTCCGCCGAGGCGCCCTCTACCACCGGCCGGCCGGGCGGCTCAGCGGGTGTAGGCGATGCGGTAGACGGCGCCGACCAGATCGTCGGAGACCAGCAGCGAGCCGTCCTGGAGCTGGGCCACGTCGACCGGCCGGCCGAGGTACTCGCCGGTCTCCTCGTCGAGCCAGCCGTCGGCGAAGACCATGGTCTCGCCCACCGTGCCGTCCTCGTTCACCGCGGTGAACATGACACGCGCGCCGATCGGTTCGGTGCGGTTCCAGGAGCCGTGCTGGGCGTTGAACACGCCGCCACGGTACTTCGCCGGGAACTGGCGGCCGGTGTAGAAGGTCATCCCCAGGTCGGCCGCGTGGGCGTCCATCTCGACCACCGGGAAGACCACGTCGGCCGGCGGCTCCGAGCCCTTATACTCGTTGGTGCGCACCGCCCCGCCGCCGTACCAGGGCGAGCCGAAGTGCTGGCCCATCGCGGTCTGGCGGTTCAGCTCGCCGGGCGGGATGTCGTCGCCCATGCCGTCGACCTGGTTGTCGGTGAACCAGAGCTCGCCGTTGGCCGGGTTGAAGTCCATCCCCACGGAGTTGCGGATGCCGTAGGTGTAGACTTCGCGGTTGCTGCCGTCGCGGTCCATGCGGATGATGCCGCCGATGCCCTCGCGGTCGTAGAGCTCCAGCTTCTCGGCCGGCGGCACGTTGAAGGGCTGGCCGAGCGAGATGTAGAGCTTGTCGTCGGGCCCGACCCGGCAGACCCGGGCCGTGTGGTTGTAGCT